CAGTACATGAAATAGATTAGCTGAATACTCTAGAATGTGATTGCTTTTCTTAAGCAGTGGGTACTATTCATGTCTTTAATGTAGCCGAGGGAAGAGATGGTGTTAAGTGGAAAATACAAGACTGGGGAACAAATACTTCGTCTAACGAATGAAAGATTTGCAGTTCCAGAAATACTCTTCCATCCTTCGGATATTGGTATTCAAGAGATGGGAATTCCTGAAGCCATTGTTTATTCTATTCAGAATTTACCTGAAGGTATAACCTAAAAATATTATGAAAAGGATGGGAGGTGGGGGAAGGAGGGATGTTGTGTTGGGTTTTGTTGTTGGTTTGGTTTTGTATTTCTTTGTTGTTTTGTTTTGTTTTTAAGGATCCAAATAGTCTTAGAGAAGCTGAAACTCTCAATATGCCAGTTAAACAGTTTGGTGAACTGTTCTGTCTTTTGATGCATTTTGTATACTCTAGAACTGATTGTCTGCAAAAGTCTGTGTTAGGCTAGCCCTGATTTTTGGTGATTTATTGATAGGTTTCTACTCTTGAATCAGCTAATCTCTGTAGACTTAATTCTTCTTAACATCCTTTTCTAACATAACCTGTCTGTCTTTGACACTAATGGTGGAATAAACTTGAAATTAGTTTTACTTATCTTTTAAAATATCTTTCTTTACTGGAGGAAGAGAAAAATCAAACCGATGAGAAAAATGAAAGTGGCCAAATTTAGTAATTTAAGCATCAAAGTATAGAACCTTCCTGACTGCTGTTTGTCAGAAGTAATACTAAAGCTTTCATTTTATACATGATGTACAGCTGATTACTGTTATCATACCACATAAGTATGGCAGCATTTAGGCTATTAATGTATACTCTTTAAAAATTGTGTTATTTAAAACCCCTTTTGAATGGGGAATTGTGTTGGCAAACATGAAATTTAACAGACAGTGTAAGAAAACAGTAGTTATCAAAGCCAAATTCTACAATCAGGAAGAACATAGGGTGATGGATCACTTTCTTGTATTTAACTGGTTAGATGATCATAAAATTCTTCTATGCATATTTCCTACTTCTGTTCCAATTCATAACAAAATTGGAAAAAAAACCCCTTTAATCTTTAACTACACAGTCTCTGACTACAGATTTACTTATTTATTTTACAGAAATGCAGCCTCATTTCTTCAAGAACATAGTTCTGACTGGAGGAAACACCCTTTTTCCAGGCTTTAGAGATAGAGTTTATTCGGAAGTTCGATGTCTTACTCCAACTGATTACGATGTTTCTGTTGTTCTTCCTGAAAAGTAAGTTCTAAACTTCTAAACAGAAGGCTTTATCTTTCTAGTAGAACAAACTATAAAGTAGGATTTCTTTTGCTGATTAAAAAGATAGACTGAGTAAAGGTGTTAATTTAAATATTAAGTGAACAAAAATTGTACAAAAAGAATATTTTAAATCAGTGTATTTTCAGACAAACCAAATAAATTAGATACCACCTGCTTGCTCTGTACTTTGGCTAATAAAGTTAAGTGTTTTTAGGATCAGCCTTTTTATTGTAAACAGATAAATAAGACTATTTTCATTAAATGGATATGCAAGTATGCAAGATTAATGAATTTAGACTTTCACTTAGAAGAATTTTCAGCATCTGAATGCTGTCATGTCATTATTAATGTAGCTACTTCAGGGATTTGGAAGGGGTAACATCTTTGCAGAGAGAGCTGAGACAAAACAAATATACCTTGAAAGTACAAAAAAATCTCTACTTTTTAAAAAGTATTATGAAAGAGTATTTTTAAATATTATTAAAGCATCATTATCTGTGCATAGTAAATACAAAGACACGTCCGTGCCATTCCCTCTTCACACATGCTTCCAAAGAGGCACTTTTTTAAAAAGGAAAGTCAGCTAGCCCTGCTAAAATTTCAGACTTTGTCTCATAACTTCTCAGAAGCTGGATGGTTTGATTTAGCAATCAAAAATGTATTTCTAAATAGATATGATTAAATGAAAGTCTTGGAAATCATCACTGCATACTTCTATTCTAAATGAACTTACAGATGATGAGTAACAATAACTTTGTTCATTTTTCAGCCCTATTACTTATTCTTGGGAAGGTGGGAAGCTCATTTCTGAAAATGACGATTTTGAAGACATGATAGTAACTAGAGAAGATTATGAAGAACATGGACACAACATCTGTGAAGAGAAATTTGATATATAGGTAGCATAGTTGGATATGTTGTTATTCCATTGTTTTACTCAGAATGGAATTCTTTGAACTACAACCTGTTTTCCATCAGCTAGGATTGTGTTTTAGCTTTCCTGTATTTAATTGGGTTGGGAAAAAATCATTTCAGAGTTTAAAAATAAAGTTTTACAAGCCTAATACTATGAAATAATATGTTACTTGTCATTTCATAATGTTCTCATCTTTTACTGATGAGCTTCATTGTATTCTTTATTGCAGAAAACCTCAATCCCTGAGATAATAAAAATACCAATTGCTTGTACCAGTGTGACACTAATACATAGTGAGAAGAAATGGTTTGGTTTTTTTTTTTAAACTGAATATCATTCTAAATCATGCATGCAATTAAATAGATGTTAAACACATCTCAAAAAGAGTCTTTGAGATTGCCTATCTTGAAAAGAAATACATGAGCTTTATTTTTCGTTATTTTAATGAATAGTTATGAGAGGAATATACTTCTAGTGTGACCACTCCTATTGAAACTATGCTTAGGCTTTGAGAAAAGAGTGATTTGAACAATTCCTTTTTTTAAAGGGATTTTAGGTTGTGGGGTTTTTTTGTTTGGTTTTTGTTTTGAACAATGGCTCGGCAAATAAGCTTTGTGTCACTCCTCTCACCTTTTTGAAAAGGTGACATCAGAAGCAGCCACAAAGGTGAGAAAAGCTTGCAGCTGTGTCCTAGCTGATAACCCATCTGTGTCCTCTCCATGCATTCTAGATAAACACAAACACCCCCTACTTTTTATTTCTGGCATCAGAAGCTCCGTCACTGTGCCATCAGTCTGTGCAGCGTGGCTTGCAGGAGGAGAAAGAGCACAGCATGGGCTAATAGCCAGATAGAAACCTGGGAGGGCCACGCTAGTTGGGGGTGTCCCACCTGGCTTGCTTGCTTGCCAAGACTGAGATGGTCACTTGGACAGGGTGGATAATAGATACATGGTGCTGACACTGACCTTGAGCTGATACAGCTCACTGCAGCAGGGAAATGGCCTCTTTATTAGGTCTGGTGGTACTCAGTGCTCTCAGATTTGCAGAGGAGTACCCTGCTCTGTCTCATTCCCTCTGCTCTCTGCCCTGACATAATACCAGTAGGTATACTCACACAGTACACTTACCTGGCTGCCTTGCATAAGGGCAACACAGAAGAGAAGCCAATGCTTCAGAGAATGAGAGATGATCATTCTTCTTGAATATGATCTTTATTACTTTGGACTGCCAGCTCGTGTTGGCTTTCCTCTAGTCTCACCTACTGAAAGGAATGAAAGAGGTACCCTCCTCCTGCTGCTAACAGGTATATGAGCCACAGAGGAGGCAGCTGGGGTATGAAGGTGTGAGACCAACACCTACAAACTGTTGGACACAGCTTGTATTACATTGTGTAGGATGTGAATAAGTCTAGTCCACTATTATTTTGATAGCTGTATGTAGAGGCCCAAGCTCTATTTTTTTAACTAACTGCTCCACGCAGTTGTGAGCATACTTTAGCTAGGACTTTAAGGAAATGTACACATTGTTCCCATGAAAGTACTAATGAACCTTTTCCTTGGTAGGAGCAAACATGAATGCTCTATAAATAGAAGTCTTCTCACTTTGAAGGTGGCATCACTTGCGCTTTGGTAAGACTGTACTGAGAAGTACCTATAGACTAAACTTTCTGCTCTGGAAATTTTCTACTTCAAACAAACTTATACTGGCAATTAATTTGATAGCTCTATGCTAGAAATCATAAACAGAAATGAATGAGATGTCCCAAGTTTCTCTACCAGGTGACTCTGTGTCAAATATTGTTAAAAATATGTCACAAAACTTTCTGAAGTCCAATAACATTTTTCTAATTTTGGAATTTAACTGAAAGCGTTACAACGAAAACCAATAGTCTATAGTTCACCAAACTTGTTCTGTTCAGCAGGCCCTCACAATTAAATGTAAAATATCACATTTCTTTCAACGCAAGATTAATGGTAAGTAAATTCTCCTGTCAGGATATATGAATAAAACAGGGCTTTCAAAAGCTCTTCCTTCTCTTCCCAGAACTAGATCAATCTCGACTTCTTGTCCCATGAACTGATGGGAACCACGTGGCAGCTATAAATGCCTGTTTGGAACATCTCCTTACTACTTGATACCTGGATCTACACCCCCTTAGCTGCCTCTTCTGTACAAATGGACTATGAAATGATAGATTTGTCACTTTTTATACAGTTCTTTATTATCTTCTTTAGATTAGCACAAAAAAATTCAAGTCACAAAGTGCAAGAGTTTGTTTTTTAAAAATACAGTTTTCCTTGAAGCAGTTCACCACTCATCTAGCCCACAAATCACCATGTTATCACCCCTCCCTGTTACCAGGTTTAGTATTTTGAGTAAGACCCAGTAAAAGGACTGAAGACAGAGAGAGAGAAGAGAGGAAAAAAAAAAGCAACTAAAATCCCTTTCTCCCACTACTCAACACCAAAAGCACTTAACTGGGAAATACTTTCCTTTTTAAAATTCTCAATAACCTGCTTTGTACATGCTCCCTCTTCTGGGAGAATGACATAGGGCTAGAAATCCCACAGAAGGCTAGGAAAACAACACATGGGCCTGTAGTCTAGGATTTAGGGCATTCACCTCTGGAAGGTGAAATGTGGTCTTTTTTCCTCTGGAAATTATTTATTTCACACTGTGAGGGTAGTGAGGCACTGGAACATGTTGCCCAGAGAAGTTGTGGATGCCCTATCCCTGAAAGTGTTTAAGGCCAGGTTGGATGGAGCTCTGAGGAACCTGGTCTAGTGAAAGGTGTCCTTGTCCATGGCAGGGGGGTTGGAATAAGATGATCTTTAAGGTTCCTTCCAATCCAAACCATTCTATGATTGTATGACTTGTATCAACATTTTCTTGTTAATGTACAGTTAACCATCAATGTGTCAAGACGGGCCAACATGCTTTCTAGCTTTGCTGTAGAAATTCATAAACATTATCAAAAGTATTTATGATAAATAACTAGACACTCTCAAAATGTCCTCATGTTAAAATAAATTACTTAAGTATACCAAGAGATCTAAACCCAGATTATTATTTCTAAGGTTTCTTCAAAATGTAATTTTTTACTTGCTTTTGCATAATTGCTGAATTAGCAGCAGCTCAGACTGCCATAGTGGAGAGGGAGTAACAACAGGATTTAATTAATGCCTGCAAGCACACACAGTTTCCCTGCCTAATAAATTTTGCCTGCTAGATTCAAAACCCAGTTACCTGCTTCTAACGTTTTTGACACACTTTGTACTCTTTTACAACACCCGCAGGAGTCATAATCTACAGTTTCAATTATTATTAATTACAGATAGAAAAGATTAAAATCCCCTACTGATTATCAACCCAAACATGGCTCTGAATGTAGACTTGGCTCAGATAGAGTGCCATGGGGTTGTGGAACAGAAGGAAAAAAGTGCCAAACCCTGAACTCAAAGCAGCACAAGCAGTGTTGTATTAACTTATGAGTAATTAAGTACATTTTGCTTAAAAGAATAATTAGATTTAATGCTTTTTAGCACCATAGTAATTTTGATAGTTGTATTTCCTGAAACTGAAGATGTAAAGACATAAGAAGAAAACATTTTTTTATGATGAACAATTTTCACGTGCATCCTCCACTTTTTTTAAAAGAGATAAAAAAAGGCTGTATTGGTGTCAAACCATTTGGAATACAGAATTCACATGCAGTTTTACAACCACTACAATAGACAATGATATTTTTTGAATTCTTTGATTAATTTCTTCTTTTGCTTCAAAGGAACAGTAGGGTCATTGTCCATCTCTTGAATCAATGCTAGAAGATGCTGATTGGTTTGTTGTTTTTGATCTTCATACTCTTGAGTTGTAATGCGCTGACAGAAGGTGAAGCCTTTGTAAGAAATGAGAGGTTCAGAGTAAGTTTCACATATCGTGTAAAAGCTTTGTTAAAAAATATGATCAGAAACATAGATATACAGATATTCCACTTCAGATGTGATTCCATCTCCAAACAATGTGAAAGCCCTCCACTGAGCACAGAGGGACATCTAAACTTAATTGCAAAAATAAAATTGAAAAACAGTGTTGCAAATGCAGTATCACAGATGATTCTATACTGCAAACAGGCATGCAAGACAAAGAGCAAATACAGTTCTCACAAACAGAAACCATAATGAAGAACATCACACAACAAGAATGGCACTTTACATTGTCATGATCCAATGATTCTCTGTGAATGAATCAGATCTGTACCAAGGTCCAGTACTTAATACAAGTGAATAAATACTGTGGAGAAACAGTTGCCTCTGAACCATACTTCAGAAATCAGGAATAGAATTTAAGAGTTTCTAAACGAGTAGACAGCTAAGCATAGTTTGGGCACCAGAAGCAGAGGTGATGCAAGAGGCAGTGATTCAGAGTGAGGGCAGAGCCAGGAACAACCCCAAGAAATATGAAACTCAAGCACGACTTAGCCATAAAAAGATTGGGAATCTATGCAACACTGCCCTGCAAGAATTCAAGCCCCATCACTGGGCAGGTGAGTTCTGGCTTGAGGAAAGACTGGCATTCAGCTACTCCACAGACACTTTTTCCTCCTATACATGTTAGAAAGTGATTTGGTTGAACAACTGTCAGTTGCCTAAAGGGGAAAAAATTCTTAGTAATCCTTCTGTACAAACACCATCATCTTAAGACTTCACATAGAGAGCAGTTATTAACCTGAGCTGTCAGAGTTTTCACACGGACGTGTCCTTCCCACCTTTTACAACGAGTCTGTCAAACACCAGTACCTTTTATGGTGTCACAGGGTCAAATGAAGAAAAAGATAGTTCTTCAAAAGGGAAAGCTTCTGGCAAAGTTATTAACTCTTAAACCTTCAGCATGTATCCTTTAGTCTGGTGGTATAAGTGGCTCACTAGATTAAAACCAACCCCAGGATTTTCTCAGTGGTTTTAGTGTTCTGTATTTCCAGCAGACCTAAGGTTTACCCTCCTGCAATAGACAGACTCCTTATCAGGGTCCCCCAGCCTTCCCTCCTGCTCCCACCCACACCTGAGAAATTCCCCAGCTAAGCACGCTCAATAGCTCCCAAGAAAGATTTTCCTGATGTCTCCTGTATGAGAAAAGGGAAAATGACACCAGAATATGAGGCACACAGGAAAACAGGAATATGCCATGCCAGAGAGCTTACAATCAGATCAAACTAGGTATTTCAGCAAGTAGATGGAACCTATATGCATTTGCAGATTGAAACTCTAAAGCTTAGTAGGAAGAATATGGTATGGGGCTTGTATTTCCAGTTGTCTGTTCAATGTGCTGATGGAGACGACACAGGCTCCAAGAATACTGCAGACAAGCAGCTCTTTCCTCTATTGCTCATCTCTGAATTTTTTGGCTACACAATGTGATTCTCAGAACACTGAATGGGAGGGAATTTGGATACATTCCAGAACTCACCACAGATGGTAAGAGATTCTTACCAAAGAAGTACTAAACTACTTCTCAGGCAGATGCTGTATTAAATGTAGTATTACACAGCAAAATAACTTAGTGTTATCAGTACCCAACTCAATTTTTCTTCAATGTTTAAGCACATAAACACTAGCAATACAGAAGTCAAAAAAAAAAAAACGTAGTCAGAGAGAAATTCAATTATTTAAGCCAACCCTTTTAATCAGTGCTGCAAGACATTTCTGGCAGCAAAGACAGATGGAATCTTAGCTCATAAAAGAAATAAGCTGAAAAACACTAATCCCACATTCACAAAGGTAGTGTAGCTTAAAAAAAGGCATTTGACACTTGGTGTGTAAATTCTAAGCTCTTAATAAACTTTGTGCTTACCCAAAAGAAGAAGAGAGTTCTTCAAAACACTGAACAATCAAAGTCTGTGCTCAAGACATCTATCAGAACCTGTAACTACTGAGCTCTACGAGAATTTGTAGGTGTCTTGTGGAAGAAATAAAAGAATACTGTTCCTAAATACAAAATCACATCACATTCACAAACCAAATAATAAGCAAGTCACTTCAGGAAGCACATTTTGCACTGTTATCTCCAGAAATAATAAAAAAAAATTGTAATGTATTCAAACGAGGTAATTACTAGAACCCTTGTTCTCTAATATTCAGACAAGAGGTTTGCTGATAGCCTATAATTCAATTATTTATTGCATTAGCTGCTAATCACTAACCCTTCACTTCCAACAAAGGAACACAGTCTATGCAGAATTATAGTCAACTAATGATGAACCAGTTTGTATAGAATAGTTTCTATAAAAATGTGTATCACGTCATCTACCTGAATTGATATCTGGATCTTGTCCTTCTAGCAAACTCTCAAGTCTCCTACTTGTTAGTTCCAAAAGAGTTAAAGGAGTCTGAAAATAGAACCCAATAAGGGAAAAATTACAAAAGCAATACTTCTTTGTTTTGATAATCTAAAGCTTTCAGATGACCAATTAAAAAAAAAAACCCACAGTTAACTGCAGAAGAATCTATGCCTACATTTATTTAGGTACACATTCAAAATCTCTCATACAATTAGACTAAAACACATAGTTTTACTAAGATACCTATGTTTATTTCTGGTATTTCTGGCCAAAGAAATAGGAAGCAAAAATCTCTAGATGCTGTTTTCCAGTGATACGTCAAAAACTGTAGCGTAAAACAAACTGATTTCAGCTTAGGCTCTCAACTGCAGCTGTGAAAGAGCAAACCACCATCTCCTCTGCTGTCATTGCTCTGCAGTTCTGGCTCCATCTCCAATCGGGAATCAAAGCCCTAACGTTTATATCAGAACTTTTGATACAAGAGTATCAAGAAAAAGAAAAAAAAAAATTTAAGAAAATAAAATGGGGTTTGGCTGTGTATTAACACATACAAAACTCTCACTAACCACTCGATACTTTCAAACTAAACTGGAGCTAATTTAAACAAAAGTAAAATCTCCCATGTCTCTTGACCCAAAGTCAGAATTGGAAATGCATATGTTGCATAAGAATTAAAACCAATATTTTACTGAAACCAAATCAATGTTTCTGTGAATCTTATTTGTATAGAGTATGGGAAAGTTCCATCTTTTCACATTTGTGACAATATGATGGAACATAAACAAAAGAGACTATAAAGCACATCTGTATATTTACATAGCTGATCAAGCTTAATAGAAAGGTCATTTCATTTTGTGGTTCTGTTTATTAATTTACAAGTTAACATTTCAAAATACCAAAGGAACTTTAGAGCTATCAGAGCTGTACACATACACTGGGGCACCAGAGCACACCATCTTATATACAACTCAGAGTATGTCAGCGAGCTTCTAAAAGAGAAAGACAATAAGATACCTAAAGATTTAGGAGGCAGCCATTACAAACAAGGTGCCAAAAGGCCTCTACAAACATTGATACTTTAAATATTTTCTGAATACACACGATGCAGATAAAGAGAAAGGACATAATTTATAAAGGATTGCAAAGCTCTCAAAAATCTGTCCTTCATAGTCTAGAATAGCTTCTCACCCTGCTCGGCTGTACTGTTAAACTGTAACAGATAAAACATTAAACACTGCTCCTCAGACCTGTCCTACTTGAAAAAACGCAGTTCATGGCATTTAACATTTAAAATGCCAATGATGTAAGGAAAATGATACCTTGAAGAGCTCAGAGTGATTGTCCATCAGAAACTGAGTCAGCAGTTCTGCCTGTGGTTTTGACAGTGTTCTATTTTGCAAGATGAACTTTGTGCAAGTCTTGATGATCACCAATCTGTTCTCAAACTAGAAAAAGAAGTACCCAGATTTGGCATTAGACTGACTTGCAACGTGCTAGTAAAGACTACGTAGAACAGGATGCTATCAGTGGGAAAACATCTTGATATTTGTTTTAAAACAGATCATGTTGAAAGGCAGTAAATAGAATACTTCTACCTTTGGACTAAAACATTAGCTTTGCTATAGAAAAGTGCTATTTTCTACATTAAATGTAGCAGATACTTACTTGTTTTTGTAATCTGTAGCCCTCAGATTCAGATGCAATGGCTAGGAATGTCAGGAGCCTGTGTAGTTCTTCTCTGATATTTGGTGCTAATAATTTTAAATAAAGTTGTAATGCCTCTAGAGCTTGATCTGTTTTTCCTTTTTCTGCAATGGAGTAAAGCAGCGTATTCAATGCAATTGTTCATTTTCAGAGTCACAAACACATATTTTAATCTCAATAATAATCCCACTTTTGGGGGGCTTTCCTTCCAAGGAAAACAGGTTATCTCAGTAAATTCTAAAACCTTGTAAGACTCTATACATCATTTAATCAATAAAAGCTTAAAGTCTTTGTCCCATAGCCAGTCAGGGAACAGTTGTGCTTGAACAATGTATACAGGACATTACTGTAGTCTGTCTACAATGTGCAAACACTGAAGTGATGTTTGCACTGTTGGTGTTTACACATCTTCATATTATTTCTAGGATTCATCTCTAAGTAATTAATGAGCTGAACAATTTCAACACTCTTATTGCTTTGACAGTTCTTTTTTAGTTTGTTGTTTTCCTTTTGTTTTGTTGGGGGTTTTGTTCGTTTGATTTGGTTTCTTTTTGCTGTTGTTGGGGTTTTTCTTTTTTTGTTTGTTTGGGGTTTTTTTGTTACTGTTGGTTGGTGAGGAGTCATGTCTCTGTGTTCCCCCCTCCTCCTTTAAGCCATTAGGCTGTGAGAGTCTCAAAGAAACATCATACAGTGGAAATAATCTCCAAACCCTTTAGATGACAATTCTAGTTATCTTCACTTTGAAAGTGAGAAGCTATGAAAAAGTTTAACTTTCTTAAAGCAAAAGTAAGACAAAGGCAGATACATGAATACAACCTACGCACGATTTTCTGGCCTCTGTCCTACTTCTAAGACAGAGTTTGTATTTTACAAGGAATAATCCAGGACTTTCAGGAGTGTGCCACCAGCCATTTGAAACCACCTTTGTTTAAAAAGAACATCAAAAGCGTAAGCAAGTGAGGAGTAGCTGAGGAAGCTAGGGTTGAGTGGACAGCTGATCCAAACTGGCCAAAGGGATATTCCATACTATGGAACATCATGCCCAGTACATAAACTCGGGGGAATTGGCCAAGAGACACTTACTGCTGCTCAGGAACGGGCTGGGCACTGGTGGTGAACAATTGTATTGTGCATCGCTTGTTTCTCTTGGGTTTTATTCCACTCTATCTTGTTATTATTGTAATAATTACAGTTATTATTACTGCTATTACTATAATTAGTATTATTATATTTCATTTTGTTCCAATTATTAAAGCATTCTTTTCTCAACTCACAAGTTTTACTTTTTACCTCCACCAGGAGTGGGGTAGTGGCAGGTAGCCAGTGAGTGGCTCTGTGGAACTTAGTTGGCAGCTGGGGTTAAGCCACAACAACTCTATAGAACTGAAGAAGTAACAAAGCCTATTTAGGGTAAGATTTATCTTAAACTTGTATTTAACTTAAACTGTTCTGGTTTACTTGTAAGCCTATGATAGGAGGGTTTTGCAGGGGGGATCACAGCCTGAATCACAATCTCAACAGTCCCTTTAATAATTTTAAATAACTTCTATTACTAAAAAGTGCCCTAAATCCAGAATTTACAAAACTTTTTTCCAGTTAACACGAAAACATAAAACTAAAATCATTGCCACAAAGTTATTAGTTACAAGTAACTATAAGGGAAATTCTGACTTGGGGTAAGAAATTTTTGCAATGAGAGTAGTTACTAATTGAAACTACCCACAGAGGTCAGTGTACCTCTATCCTTGCAGATTTTCAAAATTCAGCTGGCCCAGGCCCTAAGCAAACTTGTTCTAACTTTGAAATTTGTCCTTGTCTTGAGCAGAGGTTCTTAATAGTGATCTTGAACATTTCCTTCCAAGCTATACAGTGCATCTGCAATAGCATTGCAAACGGTGTCACGATTCAGTCAATTGACGCTTAGCAAGTTACATCCTCTACATAGCTTTCACCCGTATTTTTTGTTCCAGGTTGCTCTTACCTATAAGTTCTATAATTCCTGAATAAATATGGGGATCCTGAGCAGCAAGAAGAGACTCCTTCTTTTGACTATAATACTTCATTATAATGTCAAAAAGAATCTTCTTGTATGTATTCAGATTGCTGGGTTCGTCAGTGCTCTGAGGTAACTGCTGACTAATCATCACTATGAATTGGTCAGGAAAATACTCCAAGCATTCAATTGCAGCATAGAGCCATCTGTCAAGCCTGTAGAAGGAAAAGTCAGTTTTAGTGCTTACTTTAAAATGCTCCGCCTACTCTTATTCATTCTTTTAAATAAAACTAGATAGAAACAACCATGAGGGTATAGTCATGTATTTCAATCACAACATTAAGCTTGTTTTTACGCAGTTGATGTAATTTATTTCGCTACAGCAGTTCAAGGACCTGCTCAAAATAAGCAACTTGCATTGTTTTCCTATGCTACAGGCAATACACCTGAGGTACACTCAAATCAAAACAAGCTGTATTTATGCTAGACTGTCACTGACCCCAGGAATTCAGCTAGTATTTAAAACCAAACACCAACCCACTATGTGTACAAACTTACTCAGGCAAGTTTAAGCTACATGTAACCTCTCTGTCCAGGAAAGTATTTGAGATAACTAGGTCTTCTTCTTTGCCAAAACAGTCTGGTTTTGTCTTCACTGAAGACACCAAGATATCTTCTAGAAGAGGAATATCAATTAACTGCAGCAATCGCAACAGAGTTTGCTGTTTCCAAACATCTTCTATTACTGAAACCATAAACAAACAAAAAATCCTCAGAAACAAGATCTTATGTAAACCACTAACCTTTGTTTTTACCTCACTCAAGAATGTTTTAAGTCTTCAAAGCAAACACGCCAACAGCACAGTGTGAAGTTTCTCTGTTGGGGAAGAAGGGACCAAAATAGGAATGCTAAAAAAATATCTCTCCCATCATATTAGAATTCATAATAATCTATTCTAATTAGTAGAAGCGAATAGCAAAGGAATCATATAATAAAAAAGTTCTTAGTCTTAAACCTACTTCCTTCTGAAGTAGTATTTGCATAAACAGCACCATTCTGCAAAAACATACTCCTGTTGTGTTTCCTTAAATTTACTTACTACAAGCATTTACCCATTTAGCATTCATTTAGATATTCTGTCATTAGTGACATGTTAAATTTAGGACTCCGAGGGGCATTGTTTAACAGAAATGGGATACTCACTCCAAGATGCAGTGAAGAACAATCAAGTTTTAAAATGAAAAATTTCAATCCTCACCTCTTTTTGAAAGCAGATGAATTGGTTCATTAACCATGATCTTTGGAGGTAAAGATGCATGAACATAGATTGATCGGAGAAGCTCCTCTACCCTCTTTTTATCAGCTGCTTCTAATGCTGAGGGGTTTGAAAGTGTGTCACACTTGGTTCTGCTCAGGGAGGAAAAAAAAACTTAGTTGTAAAACAAATATGATTAGGACATGTGTCTGTTACTTCCTAAATTGCTCTTAAATCAGAACTTTAGGACTTCATTGTTTCTGGGGTTTGTTATGCTGCTAGAATTCCAGTCATCCACATCTGCTTTGTGGAAAGGGTAAGGATATTGATTCCAAATACTGTTTATTAGTTCCATTTCCTTAACCAGCGTTCAGTACCTACCTCATTCATGCTAATTCTCAGATTTCAGCACGATCGACTGCAAAACCAAATTATACCTAGGCTTATACTACTGTGCCAGACTCTATTCTAAATAACAAAAGGCAAATCAAAGCACTTTAACATTACCAAGAAATTCCCGGTAGCTTCTCCAATTTAAGCATGACATTCTCAAAACTGACACATAGCTTTGAAAAGTCTCCAACACATGAGTTAGACAGACATAACTTCACCTACAGGTAACCCACCTTAACATATTAAAAAAAAAAAGAAAAAGAAAAATTAGAATAGTTTGGAGTAACTCACTTGGAACATCTTATTGTTTTTTGTTTGCAGATTTGCTCAGGAGACAAGCTTTCATTGTTCTCATTCATTCCTTGAAGAGGAGGATCAAGACTGCTATTTACAAATCTATAGAGACTAGTGTCTGTGTCTTCAAACTCTGTTTCTTTCCCGTTCTTGAATAAGTAAAGCTTTGCTCCAACTGGCTCAAACACCTTGTGATCCATCAATGCTTGACATACACGGACTCCCTTCAGTCGAGAAATATCATTACAGCTTAGGTACATGCTTTGCATAAGATGGCTCAGTACCACATCGACAGCATTTGAGCCAGTGAAACAGTTTTTATATGTTTTCAGATGTTGTCTACGTCTTTTGATTTCCAGTTGATTGTGGAGGGCACGTATAATACCATTCCACAGCTGAGTTGCTTGAAAAGGACCACTGCAATCTGCAAGACATTTATATGAGAGTTTTACAGATTTATAAACCTTTAACATTTAAACCCCCATATTTTAACACTCTGAATTTAGTTATATCTATATATTATAAAAAATATTCAAAAATCAGCTGAATTTTACAAAGACAGAGAAAGACTGCTTCATGAATCAGTCCATCTTGTAAGCTAACTCACACCCATTAGAGCCAAGATAACAAAATGACACTAAAAACAGGAGAGGAAGCTTTTTTTTCATTGTTATGACCACACATACTATATGAATAGGCTGTGTACATATACATTAAAACACCAGAGAATCACAGAATGGCCAGGACTTTCAGGGGCCTCTGGGGTCCATCTGGTCCAACCTCTCTGCTCACGCAGGGCCACCCAGAGCTGGTCGCCCAGGACCATGTCCAGACAAGTTTTGAATATTTCCAGAAGCGGAAAGAGCCACGTAAGATATCACAGCCTCTCTAGGCACTACTGAAAAGAGTCTGGCTCTATCATCTTTGCACTCTCCCTTCAGATACTTGCAGGTGACAGACAGCTACGGGCTGAGTAGTCCCAGCGCTCCCACCTTCACCTGGGGGAGGTGTTCTCCAGTCCCCAGTTTAACCTCACGCATAGCTACGAGCTCAGCAGATGACAAACCAGCGCTTGCAATGCATTAATCCCAACTGCCTCCCGGTCGGAACATCTGGCCACAGCTCCACGCCGAGCCGTACCAGCGGCGGCCGCCGCAACCCCGGCGCCGGGGCATAAGGCCAGAGGAAGCTCTTCTGTTTCCTGCTCAGCTGCCAGCCCCCCGCTAGCCCTGTCCCGCCCGCCGACCGGCCATGGGTCCCTCCCGCAGCACCAGCAGCCGGGGCTGCCCGTACGGACGCCGGCCCTGGGAGCCCGCTCCGCTCCCGGCGAGGCGCGAAGCCGCCGCCAGCCCCCCAGACACTGCGGGAGAAAAGCTGCGGAGAGGCGGGGACGACGCTCTTACCCCACCTTGTCGCCGCCGCCCGCTCCCCCGCCGCGGCTCCAACTCGCTCCGACTCCGGATCCTCCTGAAGCGCGGAGTCAAATACCCCGCCATGGCCTCGGCCGGGCCGCTGGCGGAAGCCGGCGGAGCGCATCACTTCCCGCCCGCCGCCCCCGGCCGCGCCCAGCACCGCCCCTGCGGGTCGGAAGTGAGCCGCGCTCCGGCCGCCCCCGCCCCGCCGCTCTGGCCGCCGCTGTCGCTATGGAGTAGCTGCAGCGGGACGGGGCCGGAGCGGGAGACGGAGCCGGCGTGACAGGCGGCCCGCCGGGCCTACAGGGCGACGGGCAGCCGGACGCCGTGTTGGCAGCTTCCCGCGGGCTCAGGTGAGAGGCCGCGGCCCGGGGCAGGAGCGGCTGCCTGTGGCCTGGTAGTACTGCGCGGGCCGGGCCGGGCCGGCCGGCTCCTGGGGCGGGGGGTGGTGGGCTCGGGTCCCGGGTGCCCGGCTCCGAAGGGTGGAGGGGAAGGGCCGCTCTGGAGGCGCGATCGCTGCGCGGGCAGGGCCCGGCGGGGAGCGCTGAGCTGCCCGAGCCGGCGGGTCGCGGGTCACCTGCCGCCTGTGGCCGCGGCCGCCCCGGCCCCGAGCGCGCTGCCTCCGGCCTGCCCCGCGGAGCCGAGCCCGGGCACCGGCCCCGCGGGGGCGAGCGGAGTCCCCGCGGCGCTGGCGGAGCGGTGCGAGCCCGGGCTCGCTGTAAATACAGTACATACTTTGCCCGGAGGACTGGCCCTCATGAGGCTGTCCTGGGGTTTGTGCAGCGTATAGGCTGAGTTTCGCCTGTCGGCAGGTGGCAGATCCCCGTTCGTGGATCTCGTACCGTGAGTGTTCGTTAGGGATTCAGCCGCAGCTCAGTACCGGAATGGGGAATAAAAGTCACGAAGGTGATTTGCAGTGAGGGCAGTTAGCCCGTGCACAGTGCTTCATTGCATTTGGTCTTCCCGTTGTTTTTATAACAAATGCAAAAGGTTGGTTGTGCCTGAAAAATGTTGGGGTTTTCTCCTTTTGTTTGGTGTGACTCAGTTTTTCCAGCATTTATTTTTTCTATGAATTCATCCTGATTTGGGACAGATGGATAGGATGGGGTTGGGTGGCATGAAGTACCCATGCACCTGCCTGTTGCCTTGGTTCCCAAAGAGGAATCCAGGCTTATTATAGTCAAAATAGTGGTAGAATGTACATTGCAGTGCTGTACGGTATGCACCCATATCCATACATCAGATAAAGCTATGAATTAGTTCAAACATAAATTAATGGATTTACATCTTGCAGTTAATTGTTTTAGATGAGTGAGAATTAAAGAATGGTGGGGAATCTTTGTTTTGGATTTCAACAGCCTTTATTTCAACATTTTGGATATTTTGCCTCATTTCTTAGTGCAGTGTTGGTTGTTGCTTACTACCTTGCTAAGTAATTGTCCTCATCATGCTGACATATCATTGCTGATGTACATCAAGATAAAACCCTTTTTCAATTGTGAGGGGCATTCATGAAAAGGACACATTGATCATCCAGATTTTTTTAGGATTAGTTCCAGGTTTCATGGACTTAGTATCAGTAGCATTAATATTACCCATGAAATATAAAGAGGAAGAAATCAGAGTTCTTAATCATTTGTTGCATGTCCTGTGTTGCTTGTCCAAACACTGTTACTCTTCAGATTTTGTACTTGTCTCATTTATTATCTTTTAATTTTAAATGAAAATTTCATTGTGGATGACTGACTTTATTGCCATTTGGATATTAATTTTTCTAGAATTAGCAGACCAGTCTTAAAAGAACCGAACAAACCAGTTTTCCTGCAGTAGAGAACTAAAATTGCATATTTCTCATCTGCTTAAATTATCATGATTTGTGGTATCATAGATACTACACAAAACAGATATTTGGGGGGATGCATGGATTTTCTAGGTGCATTGTTCTTGTTGGCATAATATAGAGCTTTTACTGAAGTTGGTAATAGCAATCATTTTTATGGAGCAAAATGTACTATTTTAGCTTATAGTCAAGTGTTGACATGAGAATTTCTACAAATTTGCAGTTTGATGGATGTAAACATTAAACCACGCTATTTTGAGAAGTAAGTTTCGTGGTACTCCTTGCTCAGTAGCTGAATTAAACAATAGTTTGCATACTGTCAAGTTGGAGAGGAACAGGTTGGACAGGGTCTACCAGGCTTGAATTTCAGATTCTAACGCTTCAAACACTGGAATGCTGTTAACATTCTCACCTAGTGGCTTTTCCAGGCTACTCACTGCAGTTAGTCTGTCACCCATAGCAGAGGGCACTTCTGATTTAATGAATACTACACCTTTTTTCCACCACCTGTGTAGAGAAGCTCCCTTTCAGAATTACACAAAGAAATCTGAACATGCACGCACAGGCATTTTCTTCATAATATATCCGCAGTTAATATTGCAGAGCCTTTTATAGTTTTGAGAATCCTAGCACAAGATGGTGTTTCATTGGTACTAGGGAAGGTTCGATGGCTGGGAGTGAATGAAACAATGGAAAAAGCACAAGATCTAAAACCAAATAAATTAGATTTGTGATTATCTTAAACTCCTTAGGGTTGATTTTATAGTCCTTTAGCATATAGAGTATGCCCACAGAGTAGCTGCAGAATAAAATCTCTGAGAGCTGGACATGACTATAGCTCCTTTTTAGAATACTCCATCATCCTTTTTTCTACCATTTATCAGGCTAATGAACAGTTCCTTTATACAGGGACATTAGCTTGTGTCTAATAACTGTTTGGTCTGGGGCTGCAAAGTTAGGAGTTTCAGGTGCTTTTCCATAGCACAATTTATAAAGTAAACTGTAATAATAAAATGTCACATGCTGTAATGAAACTACTTAATAAAGGAATTCTGTGTTTTGGTAATTTATTTCCAGGTATGTTCTCAACCAAACATCAGATACCAAACAAGTATGTAGTTATTCTGGAGATTATTTTGTTGATTTCAGACACAGTTTCTTTTATCTACAAGTCACAGTCCCCGCAATTAAGACTAACTCCACCCTTAACGTGCTTGCAGTCATATCTGTTTCTGCTCCTGAGTTGGCCTATTGAAGTCATAACTACTGTTTCTGATTTAAATTTGAGTATTTGCAAGATTGAGGTCTCTGCAGCTGGATTTCCTGTCTTTTTTTATAATATATTTTCTTAAAACTCCTAGTCTGATTTCTTCAAACAAAGTTATGCCACTTCAGCTGACATGAAAATTGGAGAAGTACCTATGGAGCCACAGCACTGGTGTATTTCTGCATTTCCCTATGGGGGAATAGTGAAGGTGGAATATAACTGCAGCAATAGTTAAGGCAGAGCAGCGTAACTGTGCTGCTTCCAGCACTGTGCTGAAGTTTGCTTAGGGCTTGGCTTATGCTGTTGCACACAACTGCACTGGAGTGAATTATTCCATAACACACGTAACTTTTTAAGGAGTTTTATTTAGTAGGTTTATTGCCTTTTTTGTAAAAAAAAAGCCTATATTTGCATTTTAAAACTAATCTGATTATTTGTCCAGATTTCTAATGCCATCAAATTAATAGTACCAGGAGCGAAGGCGTGCATGTCCAAATAATGTCAGTGTGGTTGATTTTAATCAAGTTTGACTGAGGTGTACAGGTGTCAAAAGAAAGTTGCTACGGGTTTTTTGGGACTAAGGAGCTGTGAAGAGGAAACAAACTCCATCTGTGTCTTGAATGGGGAAAAAGCTGTGGTGTAAATGCACATATTGATAGACACCAGATAACCTATGTAGACTAATATATTGCCTTTTAAATGTGTGTAATACCATGGAAAGAGTTTTAAGTCATACAAGCAAGCACCTCGTATCTGATCAGAAGGACATTTGGGCTGATTTGTCTGTGCTCACTGGATTATTTGTTATGCCTTTTGCTTCTTTTGTTGTTGTTACCTTGACTTGGTAGACATCATCTTTATCACAACAGAATCTTGTTGCTTCCATTTAGATAGCAATAACATTCTCTATTTTTCAAAGAAGCAGTTTTACACAATAGTATGCCAATGAGTAGAGTGTAAGACAAATAAGGCCATAATTGAAAAAAGTATTTCTGCAGATTTCAGTATATTTGCTGATGTGCTATTTTAGGTTTATTTTACCTTTAAGAAATAGTGCTTTTTACACCTTATTTGAAAGAGAGACTGAAGAAATATCCTTGAATGTTGCTTTTGAATATACTGCATGATACTGACTCCTGGAAATAATTTCTTCTTGCATTCTCTCTTCATCTTTGCTCACACTGATAAGGAAGATGAGTGTCTATCTCATTTTTTCATGGTTTCTTTGCTGCCTTTGTTCCTTCTTGTGTATACATTATCAGAGAGACAATTGTATAAATGCGACTTAGGCTTCAGAACTTCTGTCTCGCAGAATAGGCAAGTCAGACTTTTTTTTATGACCATTTAGGAAACTCTGGAAGTATACACTGCAGGCGAAGATGAACTAAATTGGAAGCTGCCAGAGTCTTTTAGCTCTTAAATTTGAAAGGTGATGTAAAAAAAACTTCCTTGTGCAATTTTGATAAAGTATAAAAAGATGGTTTCTTGTTTCCTTCTCCTGCATTAATACTTAAGTTCATTAATAGTTAGATCATACAAATAGTAATGCCAGCAATCTCATGGGTAAAATACTGAATTTTGAGCCTGTATTTTGAAAAGCACACTGTAGTAAAGAACACTTTTTTTTTGCTTGTCATCTCTATAATACACATCTATTATTTTGCTAGTCTGGGATCTTAAGTAATCCTTCCCTTCAGAAAATGTGTAGTTCCATGAGCACTGGAAATAAAGGAGTCTGGTTTCCTTCAGATTTGTTTCTCCGTTGATTTATACTGATACACAAGGTGTGGACGTTTCCTGTCAGGGGGACGGTATATAGATTCTCTGCTTTATTCAGTTACCCATTTTCAAGAAATGATTGAATTTCTTTGTTAGATCTAACAAAGAACAATCAAGAGATTCAGAAGTTTCTGAGGAGGAGTAGAAACAATGACATATAATCCCATAGGATGCAGTGTGAATGGTTCCTGGAAGTTATATTTCACTATTCTTTTTGTGGCTTGCTCCTATATCCTGTT